ATTATATTTTATATGTGTGTATATATAAAAAGATAGATTATATCTATAAATTTAATTTTATTCATATCACAATTGTTATAAGTTGCCATGAATGTTAGCCATACGCTGCTTGGTAAGGTGTGATGTGATAGAGAAGTTAAAAGTTCAAAAGCTTCTTTTATATCAAAGGCACCCAGTTTCCTTTGGGTTCATGATATTCAATGATATTAAATATAAAAAAATAATAATAAAATTCTTTCACACTATGTTTGGATACATATGACTTGAGCCAAATCAATTGTTTGAGTAATTAAAATATATGAATTTGTGTCTGACCCAAATCCAAATTGAAACTCCACCTCAATTTCTTTATAATTTGAAATCCTTTCTAAACATTTTTTATTTCAAATCCTAACTCAATCTCATTTGTAATTTGACTCAAATCCACGAAGGCTTAATCGATATATCAACATTAATTAGATCAAACTGTTGAAGTTCTTAGAAGCAAGCTGCAACTATTGATCGAGATCAAACGGTTAACATTTATCGAGATTGAACCGATAGCGATGACCGGGATAGGATAGTCGACTTCCACCGAGACTTGACTAACTGCAATGACGAGAAACAGATGGCCAACTTTAACCTAAATTGGACAGATGGTAATGACCAGGATGGTCGACTTCCATCAATACCTGACCGACAACGACAATAAGGACTAAAAGGCTAACTTCCACTAGGACCAAACAGCCGACTTCCATGGATTCAGTTTCAATGAACAATGGCCGTTTCGTCCTAGTGGAAGTCAACAGTCCAGTCTTGATAGAAGTCAGTTGTCCGGTCTTATAGAGTTAGCCATCTAATCTCGTCATCGCCGTCGATTCGATCTCTGTGGGAGTTAGTCATTGCCATCACCGTCGGTCCTATCCTGATTGAAGTTGGTCATCCCATCTTGGTCATTGTCAGCGTTACAATCCTAATTAACTTTGACTATTTAATCCTAGTGGAAGTTGGTCATTCAAACTGTTGACTTTGACTAGTTGTCCTAGTTTTTTAAATTCAGGTATATAATTTAGAACTTTACGTTATATCCAAAAAAGTAATTTTAATATATAATTTAAAATTTTTTATATCATCCAGATAAAAAATTTAGAATCTATAAATTTCAAATGTGAGATTTTATCTATATTCTTAACTTATGTCCATCCATCCAAATGCAACCTCAAATTATACAAATTACAATTTGATCCCTCAAAATATTATAATTTTCATGATGTTCTTAGGAACCTCTTTGTGAATAACTTTTTTTTAAAAGACCATTTTACCTTTACTAAAAATAACAAACCCTAATTGTAACTTTTATTTAAAGAATTGCAACTTTTGTTTATAAATCGTAAGAATTGATCAAGAAATCATAACTTATCAAATGTAATTTTTATTATTAAAAAATAAGCCTTAATCATAACTTTTATTTAAGGAATAACAACTTTTATTTAGTGAATTGCAAGAATTGATCAAGAAATCAAAACTTTTCAAGTGTAATTTTTATTATTGAAAAATAAGTTCTCAAAATAATAAATTTTATTCACAATTTTTATTTAAAGAATTATAATTTTTTTTAAAGAATCGCAAGAATTGAATAAAAAATTATAATTTGTCAATAAGTTTTACTAAAATAGTTATTGACAAAGAAATTCTTGAAATTTTTTTTAAAATTATGACATTTTAAAAGACTATATTATCATATATAATTTAGAGAACTTTTATTATTATTTTTCCTTAAATCTATTATGAAATGAGGTGTTAGGATGTGATAGGATGAGATAGAATCATAATAGGGATAATCTTAACTCATGTCCCATATCAAGAAAAAGAATGAGACTGGATTTTCACATTGTGTCTTATCTTATCTTAAATATTATTTATCCCATTTTAATTGACGAATGCATCCCAATAGAATCTCCGTTGGGAGCAGCCGGGACTCTGACTTTGAATGGTGGTCTTCCCATTGCAATCGTTATATGCAATCTGCCAGCAAAAAATAATAATAATAACTATTTGTAAGAGAGAAGTCATAACTTGAAAATTCAGTAAACAACACTACTTTTATCCTTCCTACTATAATAATATGCCTCAAGTTTTTACTTCAAATGAATTAAGCTTGAATGAATGTAACTATTTGTCCAGAAAATTCACTAAATTAAGCTTCCATATATAATTATATTCTCAAAAAATTCAATATAAAATCATAATAAAAAAATTGAGTGTAAACTTCAATTCAATAAGTGATAACAAAATATTTTTTGAAAAAAATATATAAGTACCCATTAGAGACGAAAAGACATCTTGACATTGAACGTATCTTCCAGTTGGTCTCAGGCGTAATTTTATCTCATTCCATCATATCCTTTTCTAATTTTTCTTTCGAGCAAAGCTAGACCTGTCTCGATATTATTAGGATGAAAATTGATTGATTGGGACTTGGATTTCCACAAATGGCCTTGCTTTTGGCTTTTTAATCTAGAAACCAAAAGTCCTTGCCAAAACAATAATAAAACATATTTTTATTTAAAAAATATTAAATCACATTCAAATTAGGAGAAGCAGTTTGACAAAGGAAATGTCTCTGGTTCCTTTTATTTTGCTTCGTGATTTAAAAAAAAAACCATGCAAGCAACAAATTATTTGTTAAGTGCTGGTTTGAATTGTAGTTGAACAAATAAGATTATAGATAATCATAATCTTTAAAAATGACATTAATTAAAAGTAAGGTGATAAATTACAGTTTTTGTCTGGATATTTTTTAAAAAAAATTATTATGAAAAAATTAGTTTTATTTGGATTCTATTTATCAAAACCAAGTTTAGATATATGATTGCTTAAATGCATGATTTTTCTACAAATGATTACAATTTTATATAAGTATTATTTAGAATAAATTGGCCCATTGACCCAAAAAAATCTTGTACTTAAAAAATATAGATTAATTTTTTAAGAATTTAGAAATATGGTCGATTCATATTGATATACAAGAAGTTTATCATTAATATATAAATAATTTATCATTAAAAATTTAAAAATTTATAAGAATTTTATCATTAATACAGAGTGATATATCATTAACAAATATAATAAATTAAATATAATATAAAATATAATAAATATGAAATAATTTATTTAGTTTGATTTTATAACATAGGTTATATCTGCAAAACCCAAGGTATTGAAAACCGGACCGGCCATTGAACCGGCCACGGTCGGGGGTCAGGGGTCAGGGGTTCAACCAGGGGTCAACCCGAATTCAAACCGGACATAATAAAATAATATGATTTAAATAAAAATAAATTCTCTAAGACTTAATATCTTATATAATACCACATACAAATCTAACATAATCATCAAAACATCATTAAAAACACAATATTTAAAATATTCATCCTTACAATCCTTTAATCATCAAAAAGTCTAAAGCTAATAATAATCAACACCAAAATCCTCATTAATTTCATTCAAATCTCCGGGAGTAAGGATTGAAATATTAGGAGATGATTGAGAGAAACTAGAACCACGTCCAACATCATCATTCAGATGTGGATGCTCTGAAATATTCATATTTTCTTCACCTATTTATGACAAAAATTAACATTAATCATTATGTAAAAAATAATATATATATGCAATATAGACATGTTAGTAAGTATGAACCTTCATTATTTCTCATAGAAGTTGATAAACTACAAGATTCTCATTATGCATAGCACTTTCCAAATTAGTGACATCATCAGCATCAAACTCTGGAGCTGGCTCTTGTTCCTCTTCAGCAATCCAAAAGTCTAATTTGTTAATAGATTCATAATCAATTAGATCAAAACTTATTTTTTCTTCAATTGGCTCCTTTAATGAGATCAAAACAATCAAATATAAGTATATATCTACCATGAGATAGTAATAATAAAATTTTTATTTATTAAAAACATTCATAACTTTTATTTTTATTACCTATGCTTCAATCGTAGATTGTAGTTTGTAAAGACTAAATCATTTAGTCTTTGATGTTCCAATCTATTTTTCTTTTAGTATGGATGCGTTCAAACAAGCTCTAATTTCTCTCACAACCAGAAGAGGAAGAAGTTTAGCTAAGAATACGCATTGCAAGATTTTGCAACTCTAGAACAGAACTTCCATAAAATGACCACCATTCATCTACAAATAAAAGACAATTAATTATATGTTATATGATAAATAAAATTACCATGATCATGTTAAATATTAACACTTACAAGAGTCTAGCTTCTGTGCTACTTTATGACATGAAGCTTTATCAAAAGATTCTTTATAGTCACGATACAAGCTCAACTGCTTCATCATCACAATATAATCAACATCTTCATTTTCAATTGATTCAAATATTGAAAGCATAGCATCCATTAACCTTCTTTTGTGAACAAAGTCATCATTATACAAGAAGGTAGGGTTCAACAAATATGCTGCTGCATGAAGATTGTTCTTTAAGTGCTTATCCCATCAGGCTTGGATAATATCTGTGTAAGGCTTGTATTGGTATTTATTATTGTTGAAGACTACCTTAATTGCTTTTTTTGCCCTTTGCATGCCTTCATAAACATAAGGCAAAGAAGGCTTCTCATCTGAATCAACAATTCTCAACAACTTTATAAAAGGAGACACAATCTTCACAACTTCAAGACATTCATTCTAAAACTGATTATCTAATATGATAGCACTAACAATTATTTCGGCTTCAGTCCTTGATAATTTGTGATCCACAAAATGCTTATCAATGATTAAAGCTTGCAAGTTATGCTTGTGCATATATATGCTATGCAATGTGATAAATGTTGTAGCAAACCTTGTCACACCAGGACGCACAATTTCTTTCCAACCCTTTCTTTTCTTAAGCCATGACAGGAAGACCATATGATTATAAACAAACATAGTGATCTTTGATGCCTTTGTTGCAAGTTGTGACACATGAGACATACTTGCAATGTCTTTCAAAGTAAGATTCAAGCAATGAGCAGCACAAGGTGACCAATAAATACTTTATATTTCTCTTTAATCAACTTGCCACATGCTACATAATTAGTAGCATTATCAGTCACCACATGCACAATATTTTTAGGACTAACCCACTCAATCACTTCGGAAAACAATGAAAATAAAGTCTTGGCATCTTTCACTAAATTAGAAGCATCAACAGATTTCACAAATACTATGCCATGTGTAGAATATACAAGAAAATTTATCAAAGTTCGTTGCCTCACATCTGTCCAACCATCAGCCATGAGTGTACATCCATAAGTTTTCCATTTAGATCGATGACTCTCAATAAGTAGCTGATATTCTTTTTTCCAATCATTCAATAAGTTAACTCTAAATTCATAAGCAGTAGGACCCTTAAACCCGGGCCCAATTAAAGCAATAGCATCCATAGTTTTTTGAAAGAATGGGCAATCTAATACATTAAATGGAATGCAATTGATGATAGCCCATTTAAGAATGGCCATTTTTGCACTGTGTTGTGCTTCTTTAGTTGCAAACGCACTCTTAATGCTTGGTTGGGAACCTAGAGTTATCCTAGGGGCAAAATAATTTTCAACTAGCATAGTAGGAGGTTTCTTTTTACTAGCACTACTCTCAGGGATTGACTTAGATGGAGCAAGTGCATTGGGTGCATTAACATTAGACATATGTTCCTCCATGTCTGCTTGTACATCAACAAGCTTTCTCTTTTTCCCACTTTTTAATGATTCTTGCATCTGATGACAAACATCAAAAGGAACTTTACTGCAGGAAACTACATTTCCACTTACACCAGCAAGATGATGCTTTAATCTATTTATTCCACCTCCTTTATAGCTCAATGCACAATAAAGACATGTATGCACATTTTTGTTGCCCTCTTTTCTTAAAGCAACATGTGCCCATGCAAGATCTTTTTTTTTTTCATGAACTGATAGGGTTCCAGATGTGGAGTCATTATGCCTAGCAGGGGCGGGACTGTTGGAATTGGGAGTAGGATTGTTGGAATTAGGGGTAGGATTCTCAGTTCCATCACTATTAGAATTACTTCTAATATCCATATTATAACTTTAATCTGCAAGCTACGATAATTTCAACATAAATAAACATATAATGCAAAAAAAAAAAAAACCAGAGCAATCATAGCAGCCAAAAATCTAAAATACAGTATACAAGAGCAATATAAAGCTCGAATTAATTTTTAGCAACCAGAGCAAATCAAAATACATACAAAAATCACAAATAAGATTCAGAGTTCAGACAGAGTCATAGAGCACAGCATTCGAATTCCAAAACGAGAAGAGGTTCTCGCCTTCTCGGTTTACGGATTCAGACAGAGATGAGCAATATAAAGCTCGGATTAATTTTCAGCAATCAGAGCAAATCAGAATACATACATAAGTCATAAATGAAGCTCGAAGATACAGAGCAACATGAAGCTCAGTTTTATGGTTTGATAAATCATAAAGTTTATGGTTTGAATTCTATGAACCAAATCGAGCCAAGGGGCCATGACAAAAATTACATTTGATTATTTTCTAATTTTCTAACTCTAATTGTCGCAGCCAGTGACTGTAACATTGCCATTCATAAATTCTGAAATTCAGACACCTTCCCGAACCACATTAAACTCCTTGAGATATCATTCCGTCCACAAGCTCGCAGAGGAGAGAGAGAGAGAGAGAAAAGCATACTTGAATCAAGTAGGGGGAGAGAGAGAGAGCAGCTACCTAAGAGGCTCGTACGGATCGTTGAAGCTTAGGCAAGATTCAGACAGAGCACAACATTCACCGTTGAAGCTTTGAGGCAGAGATGGTCACGGGTTCAGCATCTAGATTCAGCCATAGATGAGACACGATGAGGGCGAACCGGTGAAGTTCAGACTGAGACTATGAAATGAGTTCAACCTTCATTTTCGTTCAGAGATTGAGCTATCAGCTATCAACGTACGGATCGTTCAACCTTCGCTGTGAGAATACGAGATCGGAGAGTCAGAGATTAAGAGTTGAGAGTTGAGATGCAGAGCCGTAGCAGAAAGGACAGAGACATACTAAGTTAGGGCTTCTGACTAAGTTAGGACAGGGGAGAGTTGAGACGCAGAGGAGAGGACGCGAGAATACGGATTACGGACCATTCAACCTTTGCATATTTTTTTTAATAATATGACCCCCAAAACAACGTCATTTTGGGGGTTAGTCTCTTCAAAAAATAATAACCCCTCAACCCTTTTGACTCGGGGGTTGGGCGAGTTTATCCGGGTTAATATCGGGTCACCCGAGTTAACCCGGGTCACATAAGGCCACTTTGGCCATATGAACCGGATCGGACTCGTCTCTAGTTCGTCGGGTCACCGGTCGAATCAGTCGGTTTGGTCCAAAATTTTAATACCATGGCAAAACCTCCTATTATTTAACTAAACCTGACCCAAAAAACCAAAAAAAAAAAAAAGCTGCCTTCTTTTTCTCAAAGACAAATTTGGGGCTGATTGGGATTTTGGTAATTTTTTTAATTTTCGTATTGGGTAACCATCAACAATCAACAATCAATAAATATATAGATATATTGATTGATTAATCCAATCATTCACCTCGAAAACCAAATAAAATCTAATTCAATCCCCAAAAATAATCAAACGAAACGACACGCCTGTCAAAGCCAGAACTGCCAATCAGTCGAGCATCCTTCTTTTTGTCGCATCGACATGTCCAGAACCGAGGAGGAAGATGCATCAGAGCTCAAATTTGGGGAGGGTATTTTGTTTCTCTGTTCTAAATTTAAAATTCCCAATCGAATAACTCGCAAGTAACATGTAATTTTGATCCATTACTGTGAATTAATAATTCACCCGTACCAACTGGTTGGTTAAGAGTCTGTCTGACATATTTCAATTGAAATTACAATCCTTCTGTTTCATGAGGTCAATACGTAAATCACGTCGTAAAGACGACCCACTTGAGCAAGTGCCAATATGGCGTGTTGTGTTTTGGGCTAGAGATTCTCATATGTATATAATGGTGGGGTATTAAACTTGCATCGTTTAATTTATTGTTTATTTAATATCCCTAGCTTTTCCTCGATTACTTTTGACAGAGACTAGAGAGAGGTTAGGTACTATAATTCTTTCTTCGTTAAATCTAGTTGGAAAAAGCAAAAAAATTCATGGATGGGGTTTTTTCATGATTGAGGGAATTAAGGTGATCATGGGCGGGTTCACGGCTATATATATATATATATTCTACATCGCTGGCTCTCCCTTAAAATTTATATAAACTTTACATTCATGTGTTTTTCAATCTCGGCCCTCGCTCATGGGACCATGTATGAGGTATCCATTTGGTGGCGGTGTTGTTATGCACCCCTCACTCATAAAAATGTACTTTTCAAGCACAGTGAAGAGGACGAACACAGGCAAAATTTCCTACAACTAAGAGGAAGCTATCATGTTTAACTTCTAGTCTTCCATTGTTCGTGCACTAGGTATAACTACAATGGACTATTCATTTGCATGAAGCCCAAAATGAGCCGCATTGATCTTATATAGTGTATCTCTATGTACTTTCTTATATTTTATATTGATGATATTGATAATTAATAGGACAGATAAACAATGAACTATTATTATAGCCCAGAAAACAGTTTCTTCGTCCACCGGATTTGTTAGTTTAGTTTTGAGATAATTAGCATGGCAAAAGCACTTCAATCGTCTATTCTTACAATTAACTAACTCTAAAAGCATGCAGGTTACATATAAGTGGTGCCTTTATATGCAGTTTGATTTATTAGAGGCTACGGATGCCTTTATCTTTTGTTGAACAGCTTAATGTGGATTTTTTTTGTTATAAGGTCACTAGCTTTTTCTCTCACCTCGAGGCAAAACTTGAGTAATTGAAGGACCTTCACTGTTTCCAGTTCGAAACAAATATATCAAGGAGGAAATAAGGAAAACACCCTAAAAGAACCAAATAGAAACAAAGCTATATGAACAGAACACTTGAGCTCAATCCTCTAAAGAAAACGTCAACTGAACTTACACTGCTAGTGGATCTTACACTCCTTTCTGCTACTAAAGCAGCTAAAATGTTGGTTAAGAAAAGAAGAGGAAGAGGAAGAAGAAGCATCTAAAATGCACATCTACTTTTGTTGTTTGGGCAAGCAATTAGATAATTTTACTGAATGTGATTAACGTTTAGTTAACTCTGCTTTGAGTTTGCACAGCTCTATTTGGTTGCTTTCTTGTCCATACCTGGTGAAGCTGTTAAGTTTGTCCTGATGTTGCGCCTTTATAGATTTTGAGAAGGCCAAATGTTTAATGAACTGTGAAGTTGCCCTTCTTTTGGAGCACAAATTGGAGCAGTTCAAACAAATGTCCGATGAATCAATTAAGCATATTCCCCAGTGAGTAATTGACACTATCATACTAGTACAACGAAATTTATGTGGAGATTATTAAGTTATTTCTATGTTACAATCTGAAAATCAATAAACATTCTTATTTGGGCTCTTTCCTTGGCATCTTTTATTGTTATTGCTTTTTTCTAAAGAAATCATTATTTTTTACTTTACAAGAGTGTTCGAGAAGTCTCTGCAGTATGTTAAGCGCTTCAGCCGCTTCAGTAATCAAGATGCTGTGAAGCAAGTTCGACAGTATCCCTCATTGTTTATTTGATACAGCATATAGTACTTCGTTTGAGCTTATTTTTATTTGTTCGTACCTTAACTAGAATTCAGAGTTTTGAGTAGATATCAGCTAGCTGAGTACGAGGTACATACAGAACAATTTATTGTAAAAAAGAGTTCCTAGTATATAGGAGGAATTTATAACAACTGTTTCTCTTTTGTGATGTAGCTTGCTGTGCTTGGGAATTTATGCCCTGAAACTGTGGAGGAAGCTATAAGTGTTATTCCAACTCTTAAGGTTTGTCCCCTTTAATATCTTTCAGAGTCTACTTTATAACATGCTTGATGCACAAGGTATCTATACTAATATTAAACAACCTGTCATAGGTTGTGGAATTTTTTAGTCTGAATGCTATCCCCATTGACTGAGGCGTCTGATTTAACTTTAAATGATATGAATAGCTTGCAAAACGAGAAATTCTGATGTATAAGTTATGGCAGCTTATAGAATATTTCTTACTAGGGCAAATTATACTTTACCACTATGTGAGTTAGCCCTTTTGCTCCCAAGTTCCCTTATGGTTTTAAAGTTTGGCAATCCCCTAATTTCTTAACTTCCTCCGAAGTTAAACATTTCAAGTTGGGGACACGAGAGTTTTGGTTTTCATTATGTATGAAAATTAAAGTTTTGTAAGGAAATTGGGGGGGGGGACAATTGTTTAGGGGCAAAATTAGAGAAGAGATTGTACTTGTATCGCAAATTTGAGATTTTTATTAGCTGAGCCTGAGCAAGGAATTTTTTTCTTGATCCCCCCCCC